TCCCGTCCCCGGCCCTAATCTGCGAAGGTTAGGCTGTGTTTAGTTCGTAAAATGAAAAAATTTTGGATGTCATATCGAATGTTTTGAGATATTGGAAGAGGGTTTTGAATAATAATAAAAAAAATTAATTACATAGCTCATCTGAAAACTACGAGACGAAATTATTAAACCTAATTAATTCATCATTAGCGCATGTAGTTACTGTAACACCTAATTATGGACTAATTAGTCTTAAAACATTCGTCTCGCGATTTCCAACCAAACTGTATAATTAGTTTTTTTTTGTCTATATTTAATACTCTATGAATGTGCCGTAAGATTTGATGTGATAGTTTGAGATGAAAATTTTTTTGAACTAAAGCAGCCCTTAGCTAGCTAGCCACCAACTGGCCTGGTTAGACCGCAGGCGCCAGATCTCAGCTACAGTGCCTTAGCTGGTATCGATTCAACTCTAGGTCAGCCTGTGTTTGGTTTCCAAACTAAATTTTAGACCATGTCTTATCGGATGTTTAAACATATATATGAAGTATTAAATATAGATTAATTACAAAACTAACTGCACAGATTGAGACTAATTTGCGAGACGAATCTTTTAAGCCTAATTAGTCCATGATTTGACAATATGGTGCTACAGTAAATATGTGCTAATAATGGATTAATTAGGCTTAATAAATTCATCTCATAAATTAGTCTCCATCTATGTAATTAGTTTTATAATTAACTCATGTTTAGTCATCTTAATTAACATCCGAACGTCCAATATGACATGGACTAAAATTTAGTTCATGAAACCAAACATTCGAATACTATGCATGGATGGGATATGAGCTCAAATGCTATTGCCTATTCGTACGGTTTCATTTTTAGAGTGATGAGCCGAGATGTTTGTATAATTTACTAGTCCATCACGCGTCATCGCGCGCGCCGGCAAATCACTCGGTTAAGGTGTAGACAAAAAATAAGTTTAATATTTGGACGGAAACAATACTAGGAGTCTAATGTAGATACGTCATGCACAAAAACTTAAAGATTAGAATTTTTTTATATTTAATATGGTAAGACTATTCAAAAATGAAGAGTGATCTATGCTTGGATCAATAGAACGACAGTACTGTATCTTGGCGATGTAATAATCAATCTAAAATCTTTAGCTTTGGCGTCCACATATTTCGCCCAACATGCATAGTTTTCCAAGGTTTTCAACTCTGTATTTTGGAATCAATAAATAGCAGACATATCTGACCTTGCAGAGTTTGGTGTTCCATTGCGCGCAGAGGCGATAAACGCGTGGTTACATATATGTTCGGGAGGTACATGATTATAGAATGATTCTGGCATAATGTAACTTCTGAGTTGACTCAATTCATATAGCTCAGGCTACAGAACAATGTGATGATGCAAACCTGAAACATAACATGCAACAAACAGAATCACCTTGTAAAACCATTTTGGGTACTGAATAAATTACAGTGATGCTAAGCAGGGAGCTCAATGGAGAGCCAAATACTGGCCTCTAAATGTTTATTGTGTTTCTCATAGATCATGGTCGATCATATAGATGCTAATCATGTTAGTAGTAAAAAAACAAAAATGATGGCAAAGTTCATCACGAAACCATGAGAACGTTTAATCACGAAATTGGTAAGCATGCCTATCGGTATATAAGGCAAAGTAATATTGACGTTGGAAATCCAGGTTTTATTTTTTGTAAACCACATATTTATATACTGTATCACCTGAAATACACATTACATAGAAATTAATAAAGGAAACTAAATTTAGGTAAATCAGCATTACTGAATGAATAGCAAGCAATGAATTAGTGGCGGTGCATGATGCCTAAGAAATAAAGGATAATGTGAAAGCTGGAGTAGTGCTCGAGCAAGGAAAAATAAGTAGGCAATCTTTGTGTAGCCGAATGTTGGGTACGTAGAAAATTAGCAAAACAAAAGCGCTAGCATTCATTACTGAAATACAATACTAATCGCAGTAGAATAGGCTGCACATTTTGTGCCTGGCCCTAGGAAGGATCGAGGCCCTATCTTATTTGTCCGAGCATATAAGGCACCGAATTGCTGGAACAAGAAAATCTAGAATGAACTATATACACGGCAGTTTAGAATATTCCTTTTTTATTTAATGGGAATGGCATAATATAGTTTGCTTCATTGGTGGAGTAGTAGGTCTGTATAGAATCTTGATGCAACTATATAAAGTAGAACTATATTGAAAAAGCAGTGGACATATTTGCTGGTTTAACTGAACATAAAATGGGACTATGGATATATAATGAGATGTAAACAAACAAAGAATTCTATAATCAGTAATATGAAGTTATCAGCAACCATGATATTTCATGCTAAACAAATTACCACTATGGTTGACGAGCTGACTCTAATAAATTATCGCAAAATGATGATTTCTCTTAATCATAATTTACACATACTGTAAATGTACACATTTTTAGGCATCGTGTACAGCACTATTGTACACAGTCACAAACTGTAGCAAGAAGTATTTGAAAAGACTAAATGGATTAAATCGGATGGAGGAGAGATACTGGATAAATGGAGACGTACGCAACCTGCCTTGATCACACACATTTGACATGGTACATTATATAAGGAAAATCAACAACAAATGCTAGGTGTTCAGCCGAACCTGTGAGCAAATGAGCAGTAGAGTGATCAGGCTACAGAAGTTGGTCTATACGATCACACCAAGGATACAAAGAAATCGTAAATCCCTTAACTCTACGCAATAATGCCGTGGAGCATTCAGCCGACACAAGGTTGAAAATTAACTAAAGCATGGCAGAAACAACAATCTTAGAACCCAGGTGGTAACAAAACCCTACAAAGGTAACCTAGCAAAACGGAAAAAATCGCAATCAGGAGGGTCTTTGGAGCAGGAATATTTTTCTAAAAACGGTTAACCTGAGCCTATAAACATTTTAATAGCATGACTGCATGAGTAGCAACAGAGGGAGTCTAGTGTAGCAAAGTAGATCACATCATAATCATAATTATGCAGTATGAATGGACAGGAAAACGTAAATGCATTGAATGGAGCACTGGTTGGGGCCAACCGTGTATGAGCAAATCCAATTATTAAGTTTTATCGGGCTTTGTTCTATCATCAGAATCAAACACACACATGATATGAAGGACATTTTTTAAGCTAAGAAATAGTTGTTGTAATAGAAAGCTACGTAACCTCTGAAACATCACTGATCAATGGAAGGTATACAAAAAAAAGGTCATATTCATATCCCATAAATAGATACCAGAAAGGAACAAGGAAAAAATGGATGAACATACCATGGTCTTGTGACTAGCCAGCTGTCAACTGCATCTACGGCAAAAACAACTTACATGGGAAAAATCAGCTTAAACGAGAGGAGCAACCCAATGTACCTTGAAGAAGAGGGTGAGAAGATTAATCCAAGAAGCACCTAAAAGTAACAGGTATTGAGTGGGTTATCAAAGGGAAAAATAGTGGAGCGATTAGTCCCGCTGAATTGACGAAACCCAACCAACAGAGTAATGATCATGTGAAGAGATGCAGTTGTAAAAAATCAGTAAGATGAAATGAGCTGGGGAAAACACTAGAATACACAGACCAGATCAGAAAGAGGCTTGCCTACACTGAGTTGGACCACCGTTGCTTATTAAGCCTATAAAGGGAATCGGTAAAAACAAGGTCTGCATCTAGGGACCCTGTTATTTCTTATTTTCACTTTATTTGTACAGCTTGTCATTAGGAAAGCTCTACCAAAACAGGTCAAGTTCTGCTAGTGGATGTAGTGCGTACTAATATATATATATATACCTCCATCTCAACAAGATGTGATTTTGAAATTTTGATTGAGTCAAACTTTCTTAGGTTTAACTAAGTCTATAATAGAAAATATCATTAACATTTATGTCTACTATAAACATATACTTAGTAGTATTGGATCTAATTATAATTATTTGGTACCATTAATAATATTGTTCTATACATGCGTATTTGGTTAGAATCAAGATAGATTAACTTAGTAAAAGGCTAGAATTACATTTTTTTTAGATGGGTGAGCCGTAAGTGGCATTTCTTCTGTCGCAAAATACAAGTCGTTCTCATTTTTGAGAAATAATTTTTTTTAACTTTAACCAATTATATATAAGAGCAAGTATAATAAGGTGCGGTCAGCAGGCTAGGAGGTGCTCCACGTGAGCAAAATCTGAGCTGGAGGTGAGAGAAGATGTGAGAGAGAAACAAGCGGGCTGTTGGTGAAGCGCCGGGCTGAATGCACAGATCGAGAAAGTTAATCGCCGGCTTCCAGCCCACAGCGAGCGCAATAGTCGGCGTTTTCCACAGGTCTCCTCCCTCCTCCCGATCCCCTGCTCCAGCCCCGCCATTCTGCTCGCCTCTCTCGCCACCGCGCATCCCGGCGTCAAATCGCCCTACTCGCCCTACCAAATCGAAGAACCGTGCGCCAAATAGAAGCCGCACAAATCAAATCATAGCCACAAATTTTTCGTTGATCGCCAAAGTCAAGAAACCTAGATGCACAGCACAGATGAGTCTGCAGTTCGTCCGGACATCTGCGGCGGCGGCGCCTGCTCAGGAGGTTTCTCCTGCCAGCTCGGCCCGTCCAGCCGCCGGCCATCCCTTCCGCGTTCGTATCCAGCGAGCCCTGCTTCCGCATCAGACTACGACAACCAGGCATGGTTGGGTTCGTATGGGAAGCTGGTAAACATTTTTGTTTTTGCTTGCCTTTTGGTCAGTCAAATCGGAGTTTAGACTCTCACAGAAAGTGATTGACTTGGTTGGATGATTGTTGTTTCACTGGATGGAGAAAAAAATCTCAGAAGTTTTGTTGGTGTGAAGAAATGTAAATCCTAGTAGCAGAAGTAATTAATAAGATTTGGGAACTAGAGAAGAACATTCAAATAAAAATTTTTGTCTTTCTTTGGAGATGGTGGTCAGCAAGGAACAAGGTAAATGATGGTGGAAGAATGGCGAGTGCAACTGAGGTTTGTGGTTCTGTATCATTCTACCTGATGGAATTTGAAAAGTTACACAATCTTGAAAAGAAAGTGATGCCTGCTGCTGCTGGAAGTTCATGGAATCCTCCACCAGATGATATATATAAGATCAATTGTTATGGTTCTTTTGATCCGAATAAGAGAATTGGAGGCTATGGATTTGTGGTAAGGAACATGAATGGAGAGGTTCTCGTGGCTGGGGCTGGGAACATATCTTATGCTTCATCGGCCTTGCATACTGAAGCAATTGCGGCCTACAAGAGTGTCCTCCATGCAGCTCAACTAGGAATGTCAAGAATTATCTTGGAGACGGATTCCATAGTGCTTGCTAATGCTCTCAAATCGCCAAATTTAGATCGAAGCATTATTGGTGCTCTGATAGTTCAGATACGAGACATTATGTAAACAGAGTTCTCTTTTTGTGATGTCTCTTTCTGTAATAGATCATGTAATAAGGTGGCAGATGCTTTAGCTGTCCATGGAGCTTATGTGTTGGAGTCTGGCTCAGATGTGCTAATGAGCCATGTGCCTTTGTATGTAATGAACCTTGTATCAGGCGATTTGCCTAAGAATGAAGTCTAATGCAGGATGTGTTACCAGATAAAAAAAAATCCTAGTAGCAGGATGAGCATATTACGGCTTTCATAGTACTGTTGTTTATGGATGGTCACAAAGATACTAATCACAGCTGATGAGATGTGCATGCAAATATTAAATGCTTATATTTTTTTGTTTCGGGTCTTTTAGGGGTGTTTGTCACTGCTCTGCTTCCGTTTTTCCTGCTCTGCTCCACGAACTCCACCGTGGAGTTTATGGAGCAGGTGGTACTGTTTGGTACACAGCTATGCTCCAGCTCTAGGAATGGGTTGTTTTCATGCAAATGGTCCATTATGCCCTTGATTGAAATTGCACTTGATATTTTCCGAGAAAAATAGAAAACAAATGATAGAACATTAGCAGAGGCCATAATTCAAATACAAATAGTTGTCCCATAAATTATAAATGATAGAAAATTAAACAAAGGCCATAATTCGAATACAAATAATTGTCCATACGTAAGCACACGACGACTATGAATTCTAGCCCCAAGCAAGAGAAAGAGCGGTGGCCAACTCATCACGGAATGCATCCATAGTAGGAGCGTTGGGTTCGGTAGTAGACCTATTTGATGGCGCTACATATTTGTGATACCTTTCTGGGATTGTTGGGACAAAATTTGGATCGCGATCGAACCGAGCAAAGTCCAAGTCGACACCATCATGCTCACGAATGAAGTTATGAAGCACCATAGTAGCCACAACAATCATTTTTTGCTTGTACATCGGGTACGGAGGCATCTCTAGAGAATCTACCACTTCATTTTGAGAAGTCCAAATGATTTCTCAATAACATTACGGATAGAAGAGTGAATGTGATTGAACCTTTCCTTAGGAGTCTTCGGTTCCATTCCTCTATGCCACTCGGGAATATGATACCTCTCACCCTTATAAGGACAAAGATAGCCAGGACGATTAGGATATCCCGCATCGACAACCTCCTGGATGTCCTCCTCTCCAACATTGTGTGCATCAACAGGTTCACTATGGAAGTCGCCCCCTCCACCACCATTTTCATTGTCCACATCAAAAGGTTGTTCTTGTGAATCAGGAATAATTGGATTATCACTCAAAGGATTCCAATGATCCGCGTCCTCCTTTGTGATGTCCTTAAACATATCAGATAGCAAATCCTCATTTTGGAGAGTTTTTTTCCTAAACTTTCCACACCCTAGAATTTCCTGCACATATATATACCACATACATCAGTACATCAACCTTTGGAAAAAAAAATTGAGATGTGATGGATTGAAAAAATTATATAGCACTCACAGCTTTGGCCTTCTTCCACCACTCGTTGTCCATTGAAATTGTCCCCCGCGCATAGTTCCAACCTGTACCTGTTTGCCTCCTCTTCAATTTTTGCCAAGCAGTGAAATCATTCTTTAACTTATCCCACTTGTTCTTTATTTGCGTCTTCGACAACTTGATTCCAGTAAGCTGCAGGAACCTATCGGATACCTCGGTATAACCTACACAGTTCAAATGCGTGTTTGGATGATTCCCCTTCCTAACTTGTTCAGCCATCAACTCACAAGCAATTGTCACATTTGAACCAGTCCATTCCATTTGATCACCTTGACCATATATGTTACAATAATACGTTCAAGCATTGCAGACAATCTACTGTGACACGATTTCTATTTTCTGAGTATATGAAAGGATTGTACAATCAACAGTCAACACAAGCAAATCAATACCTGCTCATCCTTCTTCTTTGCAGGTGCTGCCAGCTTCCTTCCAGTGGCCACTGGAGCGCTTTGCCGGCTTGCGGCAGCACCCTAGACTCCGGCGCCCTGGCCGACAGTGGCCACGGTGGCACTTGGCCGGCTCACAGCAGCAACCTGGCCGCCGCCAGTGGCTTGCCCGCCAACGCACGGCCCTAGGGGCGCGCCGTAGAGGGGCAGACTCGGGGGAACACCGTAGAGGGGCGGACCCGGCGGCGTCACGGCTGGAGGAGGACGAGGGAGACCGACTCTGGGCGCCGGTGCAGGAGCAGGACGCTCGGAGTTGGAGAAGATGTGATGCCCGAACACGACCTCATCCGGAATATGTCCGTCGTCAGGAGCATCCGAGCCATCCATGGCGCCGGCGGCCTAACCCTAGAAGAGGACACCGGCGGCGCTAGGGAAGAGGAGAGGGGCGGCGCGCAGGGAAGACGAGAGGGGCGGCGCGCAGGGGAAGAGTCGAGTCGCGACTTTTTTCACGGGCGGCGTTGGGGAGGGGAAGGATTAGGGGAAAGTACCGATGATTAATAAGTGGCAAGGTACGTAATTACCTCACAACTCACAACTTCACGTGGAGTACAAAACTCTAAAAACTAAAGTACCCCTTGAGGTACTTCAGAAAAAATGTGGAATTTGCCTTCAGCTCTATTTTTTTTTTTTGAGCGGAGTTCGTGGAGCTAGAGGTGTTTGGCAACATGGAGCTGGAGCGAAGATGGAAAAACAGAGCGGAAGCAGTCCCAAACACCCCTTACTCAACCTATTATATGTGACGGCTGCATTGTTAGCTGCAAGTGACATGGCAACTCAGCCAATAGCGGACTGAATTATTAGACATGTCCTAAAAAGTATAGTTTGACCTGCACGCATCCTATAACGATTTTCGGGTAATGCTATATTCGTCATGTTCGCTTGACTTATAAACAGTACTTTTTCAACTAACGAATAATATTTTTCTCTCATAACCAATCAGTCAACGGTATTCCATAGCTTCTCGGGGACAATTATTGATTTGATTGATCCGTGCGCCGTGTAACTTGAAATCCACAGACGGAACAAGAGCCGCAAGCGCGCAGCTAGCTAGGCAGACTGATTTGAGCTACGTACGAAGCGAAGAAGAAGCCACTGCCATGCATTCGTCAACCCTCACATGCATGTATTGTCTGCGTGACTTGGTACCCACCAGGGACCGGGACCGGTACGGGGATAAGGACCTTAGTGGACGTACTCACTTCCTCTCAAATTATAAGACGTTTGCATATAAAAACTATTCAATTCATCCTAAATTGTAAGACATTTGACTTTTTTGACACCAAGTTTGATCACTGTCTTATTCAAAAATTTATATAAAATATCACTTCTTTCGTCGTGGTTTGGTTTATTAATAAAAATTCTTCAAGAATGACTTAAATTTGACTATATTTACATAAATTTTTGAATAAGACGAGTGGTCAAACTTGAGCCCAAAAAAGTCAAACGTCTTATAATTTGGGATGGAGGGAGTACTATTTAACATGCTTGCACAATGATTAAATTTGTAAAAAAAATAGTATCAATATTTTATGACTTACATATTATCAAAACATATTTTTATGACGAATTTAACGATAATTATCTAGTAAAATAAATATTATTATATATAAATTTAGTAGAATTTGAAATCCTTTAACTTAGTATAGTACAATTCTAAACTTACATCCTTATCTGAAACGGATCGAGTACTTACGTACAACAAGCATGCAATGCGTGCTGTCATCGTGTCGAGCGTGCACGACACTGAAATATGGTCTGGGACTAGGAGACTGTCACCGATTAACCTGCAAGGAATTGGGAGGAATCAAGCAGAGCAGGGTAGGGTTTGGATAAGAAGCAGAAAGGGAGAACAAGTTCAACAAGGCAACAGAAAATGAACAAGAAAAGTTCATCCTGTGGCGCCGGCGCCTCGTGGTGTAGTTGAGCGTATACGGGATTGCTACTTTTTTTTTTTTCGAGGGGAAGCTATAAAACCCATGGACCTTGAATCCGGGGCAAGGCCGTGGTGGGCCGCTCGCGCCTCGACACGAGCCCACCACTGCGCTCGCGTAAGAGGGGACCGTGGGCTGTCTCCTCGTCACCGCGGGTTAGGCTGGCCCGTCTAACGGTGCCGAGGCTTTGTCGAAGACGGAATTTCTTTATTAAAACCCTGATTTGAAATCTAACACCAAAGGTTTCGTGGTGTAGTTGGTTATCACGTCAGTCTAACACACTGAAGGTCTCCGGTTCGAACCCGGGCGAAGCCATTTTCTTTTTTTTTGAGCTAATTTTCTTCTGTCATTATACAGTTCCCCGTAAATAAAAATCATTATACAGTTCCCCGTAAATAAAAATCATTATACAGTTCCCCGAAGCAAATAGTTTTCTTCTGTCATGCAAAGAACTTACCTCTTAGATAAGTCCTAAAATAAAGGAGAGATAAAGATGCAGACAACTTTGGGCATGAACTCCATCCAAACTCTAGTCTAGCTATAAAACACGGCATCGATCCCAGAGTATTGTTCTGCTCATGGATGGCGACCCAAGTGATGAACCCTAATAAACTCAATGCAGACATCAACATCCAAAGCCTCCTCCCAGAAGCTTACCATGTGCTCATCGCTTCCCTTTTCCCTTTGTTTATAAGTCAGGGAGGAAAAGGCATCAATTATTATTACTACACACAGAATACCACGCTACATGTTCCCGTGAAACAACTGCTAAAAAAACAGTAGCAACACGAAAATCACTGTCCAGATCCAGAAACAGCCATAGCTCTGATTGTAATATAGCCCAACATTCCAACGAGGCAAGAAGAAAGCGCCAAGCCATATATATATGCATCTGAAGAAGAACCATGAGTCGAAAGCAACAAGGGAGCAAGGAGAAGTATAGTACAGGGGAGGGATCCAAATCCAATCCAAATGTGGTAGAAAGAAGTGTTAGTTGATCTCCACCAATAGACCAACTATTGGGCCCTTATCTTTGCTCCCTGATCGGAGGAGCCCAGCCCTAATCCGGTTGGTGGGCCCCTGTCGCACAGCACACATAAAAGGAAGGTGGGGGTGAGGGCTCGAATAACGAGGTTGAACGGAGCCGCCACCCACCTATAGAGCTAACCCTAATCCGATCCTAAAGCGTGTTGCCAGCGACGGGATGTGCCCCACCACCATTGTGTGCATCCGCCTTATGCAGGGACACCACCGGCCCCACGGACTGGGTCTCCACAGTGCCACTAGATCGCCACCATCACGGACTCCACCGAAAGGAGCTACCACTGCAATCGGGCGTCTTCACCCATTGTTGTACATCTACGGAGAAGACAAGGATGAGGTCTTCCGGATCTGGGTTATACACATAGAGGTACTAATCATCGATCCTAACAATGGTATCGGAGCCAGTTTGCTCTGTGTAATCCTAACCCTAACAAGGGTAAAAGCAAAGAAAATTTCCGGGGTGGCGGATGTCATCGAACCCGGTCACCACCGCATACCATCAGAGAAAAGTGCCAACCGACACGGCAAAAAAAAAGATCCGTGTTGGATCGAGAGAAGAAGTAAAGAAAGGGGAAAAGGATCTCAAGAACCCTAACCCTAACCCGCGCAGAAAGCTCGGGGAAGAAGAAGAGAAAAGAATCGAACGGGTTCACGAACCCTAAACAAGTAAAAGCCTTCAACGGGGAAGAGAAACAGTACCTAGAAAGTATCCCCATCTCGATCTTGAATCCAAAAGAGAAGAAATCAAAGAGAAGGAAGGAAAGAAAAGAATAGGGGTCGGCACACGAACCCTAACCCTAACCCTAATCCCCACCTTCGATTCGGAAAACAGAGATCAATCCAAATCGGAGAAAGAAAAAGGGGAAGAAGGGAAGAGATTCGGATGAACTCCGAAAAGGAAAAGAAATCAAAAGAAAATGAAACCCTAACCCTAGTACCCCGAATCGGGTTAATCCCAAAAGAAGAAGGGAAAAAGGGGAAGAAGGGGAAGGAATCAGTCTCGAGGAACAACCCTAGCATCTCGATCTCGAATCAAACAAAAAGAAAACATGGATCGGGTTCAACCGAACCCTAACCCTAGATCTCCTTTTCGGGTGAACAAGCGAAAAGAAAAGAAAGAAGATACAAATAAAATCCGAAAGGGAAAAAGAAAGGAAAAGAATGGATCTACCACCTGCAGGCTTCGGATGTCCCTTCACGGGCGAGGGAGAAGAAGAGCCGAGAGCGGCCCTTCACGGCTTGCAGGGGAAGAAGACCGAGCCGGGCTTGGCAAAGGGGTCATCACATGGCCGAAGCCGCTCGACGGTGACGCTACTCACCACCATTGGGAGGCGCAGACACCGGCGAGGGGTCGGCGGCGATGCCATGGATGCCTCCTCTAGCTCTCGTCGCCTCGGTTGTGCTCGGCCGAGAAGAGAGCAAGGTAGAGAGAGAGAGAGAGGGAAGAGGCGAAGAGAGAGAGAGAGACCGAATGAAAATGACCTAGGGTTTGCTGGAGGCAGGGCGTCAGGTTTTATACTTCACCGAGATCTGGCGCTACGGCCGTCGGATCAAGAGACGGACGGTCGAGATTGATGGGCTAACCCATGCCCAAATGAAGGAAGACCACGACCAAGCTTTGCTGCCCAGCCAAGTTGTGTCTGGGTGCGTCTGTGGATGAGAGGCGGGCCGAGCCAGCTTTTGCCGGTTTTTGGGCCGAGAAAGAAAGAATGAGCCCACATTTTCTGTTTTTCTTTTTCAGTAAATTGAAAAATGGAAAATGGCTCAAAAGGAATAGAGAAAAGAGAATTTCAATGGTTTAAAATTTCTAGTAAAATTACACCAACGTGTTATTTTTCCAAAAAGTAGATATGAACCGACATGATATTTAACTGGAGAAAAGAAAAGTTTTTCCAGCAAATATTTATTTCCTAGAAATTGATTAATGGATTAAAGGAAATAGAAAATACAATTTTTCCCTGTGGGTAAAATTCAAGAAAAGGAGAAGTTTTTCCACAGCTAGAGAAATTGTTTATTCTCCGGTTAATTTGTACCAACGTGGTATTTAATTAGAGAAAAAGAAAGTTTTTCCGCTGCTAAAGAAATTGTTGATTCTCCAGTTATTTTGAACCAATGTGGTATTTAATTGGAGAAAAAGAGTTTTGATATGATTATGATGTTGTTATTTTCTGACCAACGTTGATAATAACAATATCATAATTTTAATGATTTATGCATTGATTCTACTTCTGCCCAACGGTGATGTAGAATTAGTGTATAAGAAAAGTTGATAATGTTAATGATTTATGCATTATTTCTACTTCTGCCCAACGACGATGTAGAATTAGTGTATAAGAAAAGTTGATAAAGTTA